CCCCAGCAGTGTACTTCGTCGATCTGCCTGTTCTGCACCCCGCTCTGTCTCTGGTGAATCCTCTCGCCCTCCGCATCTCTCTGGCCTGTACCCCAGTTCTGTACGAATAAATAAATCTTTAAAAAAAAAAAAAAAAAGGACATCCAGATAAGCCACCACTATACAAGACCTTTCAGAAGGACCCAGACATCTAGCAGAGAACACACACTACATCACTTCAGGTTATCTACTGTGCAATAACCTAAAGGGAAAACACTGGATTGGAAAGCAGAATACCTAGATTCCAGCCCTAGCTGGCTACCCCCTGGCTGTGTGGCTTGAGGCAAGACCCCCTCACTCCATCACACTGAGGACTGGGGACCAGGAGACTAGCAGTTACAGCCCGGGAGGCGATGGGTTGGTTCTAACATGTTGCAGTTTGAGTCCAAGTCCACATTTGGCTCTTGCTTCCCATGTCCTGAGGATCTTTCACCTGGTTCATCAGAGGCCTGGTGACAGGAAGCTCCCACTTAGCCCAAATTATGACAGTCAGAAATCACTTCTGTTGCCACAAGGCTGAGTGGAAGAAAATAAGACAATCACAGGAGATATTTCTCAACCTTGGACTATTAAGACAAGGTGTGTCTATGTATGTCAATAAATTCTTTTTCTCAGGAAAAGCAAATGATAAAACTGGTTTAAAGGTAAAATGATTTACCTAACCTTATAAAATTTCAAGATCTCCCTGTGCCTCCTTAACCTTCCAAGCAGGACAGTGTTAAGGCTCTAAGACTCATTCCCAAAGGGGAGAAAGAAGCAGCCCTTTCCAGAGCTGATGACAGATGTCCTCAAAGTACACCTTGTTCTGGGAAGCCTGACTATGTCCAAATGTAAGGAAAAGGGAGAGGGCAGCTCTGGTAGAGAAACACCTAAGAGCTGAGAACCCACCAGAGATCAGGCCAGTACTCTGTCTTCCCAAGGGCATAAACTGAGGCAGAGACTCAGTTATTAGTTCCCACCATACTCAGGGGAACGTGATTCATGGATAAGGGCTCTCTAGGCCTCCTGCCTACCTGGAGCTGCTGTCTGCTGGTCCAGATGTCCATGACTCTCTAGTGCCCACCTCTAGATAAGAACTTTCTTTTAGAAAGATGAAGAGGCTCTCTTAAAACCACAACTGAGCAAGAGGAGCCTCTGGAGGTTAAGTAGTCATATACTCAACCATTGTCCCCGTACAATGCACATTTGAGGGGACTACAACAGCTGTACCAATCCCCAGTTGAACCCGTAGGTCAGTCTCCCCTAACCCGTCCAATCTGAGGTACTGCCTACCCCCTACCCAACCCCTCCCTGGGCAGGCAGTGTTGGTACAAGTCAAGTCAGTTGAGCTGCCGCCAAATAGAAGAAAGATAAACATTCCAGGAAAAGAAACAAATGCAATGCAAGGCCACTGTTCCTCCTAGCCTGACTACATCTCAGGCAAACAACCAAGTGGCCAGAAAAAGGAACCTCACTTCTTGGTATAGAGAAATGGATGCAGCAAGGGCACCACAGGCCTGAACTCCCTGGGGAACTTATAGGAATCCTCCAGAAAGACCCACCTCCTCCTGCAGCACTTATTTCTGGGGGCCTGGTACTAGCTCATGGGGATGCCTGAAGAGGGGCTTATTATAGCTCTGAACACTGTAACCTACCATACATTAAAACTACTGAGTGTAGACAGAGACAAGATTCAAACCCAAGTCTATCATAAGTCTATCCCAACGCTCTCACAACCCACAACAGATTCAAACTGTGACCTGTCAACGGCCCAGTCTGACTCGTGGCTACCTCTGTTAGCGGCGACCTACCAGCTAGGAGGAATCAATCGCCAGGTCCCACAGACATCAGAAAGCAGAGCAAAGTCATGGGCAGGAGTTGCAAGTAATAAAAGCTAATGGGGGAAAAAAAGCTTTAATTTCTATGGATGCTTTTTTCCCAATTCAAACCATCCCAGAAGGGGTTTTTTGATTGACACCTGGCCAGCTTACCCACTCCTGGGGAGACTTTCAGCTTTCTCAAGACCCCACAGAGTCAACACAACCTCTCTGAGAGCTGCACCCAACACTACACAGGGCTCAATTAAAATAAAAGCCCCTCCACCCTCACTTTGTGAGGTTGTCTCAGTTGTAGCCTAAACATCATGGTCCCACGCAAGTCACACAGAGGCAGCCAAGTAACACAAGGCCCAGGGCACCCCTAAAATATTATCTTTCAGAAAGACTCATAACCAGTCAATTCAGAGTCAACTCAGAAACACCAGTAACAGGTCAATGGCCACTAGCAACACCACAACAAAACAAAAGCATCGGTGGTGGTGACCCAATTTTTCATGCTTCATTGAGAAACTCTACACCTCAAGCAACAATAGCATGAATTTTGGAGTACTCACTTTAATTTGCTAAGTAATTTCTCTTTCGTTCTGCATAATGTTCAGACAACAAAAATAAAAGGACAAAAATCGAGCCTGTGGGCCCATTCTTTTTTCTCTTTTCTAGTTCTGCTGTTCACAGCCATCTCCACAGGAGACTGAGAATGAGATGATGATGATGAAGAAATCTATTTACCACATATTTAATATACACAGTCTCATTTAATCCAAAAACACCTTAGTAAGTTATACATCAGCAACTCCATTTTACACATGAAGAAGAGTGAAAGGAAAAGGCGGAGAGGAGGGACCGACACCATGAGTCTGTTGCCAAGTTCTGTGACCGGCTGCAAGAAAGGAAGGCTTGAGGCAGAAAAGCTAAGCAAGCAGAGTTTATTGCTCGGGGACAGCAGCTGAGATGGAGACCCTAGAGTGGGGTCCGCAGCTACTGCCCCCTCAATAAGGGGGAAGGGTCTCTTATATAGATTCTAAACTCAGATTCCAAAGGGGTGACTCATCGCTGTGTCTTTGATGTGAGGCCCAGTTCGTTACCACCTTCAGCTAGTCCCAACCCAGGTGCAAAGTCCCTTTTTGGATGCAAGGCCTTGACCGCCCTAATTCAGTCCTTGTCAGTAAATCTTTAGTCACTCCCAACAAATTCTGAGAAATACTAACTTGTCTGAGGTTAGACACTTAACAGCAGGGCAAAGATTCTACTTTACTTTTGATGATTCCTCTGCTTTCCCAGAGTAACCATTAAGTAGAAAAGATTCAATTTTCTGCTTTAAGAAAAGACCCCTTGGGCCCTCCAGGGTGGCGCAACGGGTTAAAGCACAGTACGATGAAACTCTCTGCATAAGAAGTTCAAGCCCCAGCCCCAGAGGTGACCCTCATGGCACAGCAGACCTCTCCTTTCTCACCTGCTGCTCCTCTCAGCAGTGTATTTCAGTCAATCTGCCTGCTCTGCTCCCCACTCTGTCTCTGGAGAATCTTCTCACCCCCCACAACTTTGGCCTGTACCCCAGTTCCTGTATGCATAAATCTTAAAAAAAAAAAAGGGGGGGGGGGAGGGGCCCTCTAGGAGCCCCTCTGGTGACACAAGAAGTTTAATCTCCGCATTGTTAAACTATGGGCAGCCGCTGCAGCTGCAGCGTGAGTTCTATCCCAGGCCAGGAAGCTAACACATAGTACAATAGACCTCTCCCAACCTGCCCACTGCCCCCCTCAGTAGTGTATTTCAGTAGGTCCACCTGTTTTGCTCCCTACTGTGTCTCTGATGATTCCTCTCACCCCCCCCCACACCTCTGACCTGTAACCCAGTTCTTCTATGTAAAAATAAATATTTTTTAATGTGAAAGACCCCCTTTTACTACCACAGTCTCTGTCTGACCAATTCCAAGAGCTTCCTCCCAAATTTGATATGAGAATAATTAAGTAATTATTGGAGACATTGAGCAAGAGCATGTAGGAGGTCTTTTCTGCCAAGATTCTAAGCAAAACTGACCGGGTTCCTGCTGGCAGGATGCCTGCCTGCAGGGCCCCTCACTCAGAACATTTCTTCAAATCCTAGTATTAGAAATGAGCAGCCACCTGTCTGGTAATCTTGTGAAAACTGACTGTGGATTATAGGTCAAGGAGAGTTGAGGGTGGGCTCAGCCCCCTCATGAAATAAGGAACACATCCAGCCAAGTTCCCCATTAGAAACAGAAATGGGGGGGGAGGGTGTGCCCAGATTCACATAGTCTGGACAAGATAATTGGGATTCCCTGCTGTTTCTGAGAAAAGGTTGTGACTAGTTCTAAATTCTATTTCAGCACTTCGATAAGAGGGTTCACACTTCACAAATACCCTTCCCTCAGCCCCAGGGACAGTACTACTTAGGTTTTGGAAACCTTACAAGGGCAGGAAGTAGGGGAAGAGGGCCCCAGGGTAGAGATCAACACAGAGGAACTAAATACAACAGTGAAAACTGACAGAAAGTTTACTAAACCTCAAGAATATAAACCTTTTACACTGGTTCATTTAATCTTCTGAAACAAGCCCCAAATAGGTACCACTTGTGAGCCTCACTCAACAAATGAGAAACTAAATTAGGGCAAAGTCACTAGCCCAAAAGCTCAGGGAAAATGTGAGCCCTGTTTCAGGAGAAAGTGGTTCTATGGGTTGACAGTAACAGGGGAGGTCAGCTCTCCTCACCGCCCCTCTCCTCAGCCCCCCAGGCCTCCTCACCACTCCAGAAAACTAGAACGGATTACTCCGAGCTACTTGATGGTCCTTACCGAGTGTTTAGCGGGGCGAAAGCTACTCAGACTCTAAGCACACTCATTGTCCAAAACTTTGTGAGGCTTGAGCCAGAGCAGGGAAGTCTTTCAAGGCCTTCTCCGGTTCTGGGACTAGAGGAGCCTGTGGCTTCCCTATACCTCCCCGGTCCCAGCTTTCAACATGAATTCCTGAGAACTCACCTCCCAACTTCTGACCCCCACAAATGCAGCCCGTAACTTGTTTGGGATAAGGGGCTCCGATCCGAAATAGGGAGAAAGGTGGTGGGGACCCTGTCGGGGAATTCCCGGGAAGTCTTAGTCGCGGAACTGAAGCCGACCCGAGTTCTTACCGAGCAGCGGGGACTCCTCAGGGCAAGCGGCTAGCGACAGCGCCGCAGTGGGGAGCATTGTGGCCGAACTCAAGTTGTTTGCAGGACCGAGGCTGGAGTCACTCCCCGAGCGCAGCTCGGAGGAGACGCCCAACGGCAGCGGCGGGAGGGCCCCTCGCTGCCGGAGCTCCCCGGAGGGCTGCCCGATGGCAGCGGCGCCGTTCGAGCCACCCTGCAGCTGTGTGCGGACTCCAACCAGCTGGGGCAGGCGGCTCAGGTCGCTGCCGGACAGGTAGTAGACGAGGGTGACGCCAAGGTGCAGCGCGCAGACGGCCACTAGCAGGCGGCAGGCCCGCTGCAGGGACGCGCCCGGCATCGCGGCGCTGCCGCCCAGGAGCGGCTCCCGTAACCTCATCTTCCCGCCGCGGCTTTAAGAGGGGGGTGGGCTACAGTTGGGATGGCGGCCCGCCCGCGGGCCGCCGGCCAGACGCTGCCTGGCCACGACAATTGGGGGAGGGGAGGCAAGGGCGCGCGGCGGCGCTGCC